ATGGTAGGTCATTTCTACTCACCTGCACACTGAACAGAAATGGGATATTAGGCGCCATGTGGGTAGCCTGGATGCCGTGCCCACAATTATCAAACGGTGATCTCAACGAAGCGATAAATGGTGAGCTCACCGTAGACAAGTCTTCCTAAGAAGTGAGGAATTATGATATAGTTTGTGAATAAATATTAGGCAGCTTCTTGGATGACGAGGTAATTACTGAAATCGATGTTTTAATCTGGTTACACTTCTAAAGTGGGAATACTCACGTGCTATGAATCTAGCAGCTTTGTTTTGGAGTGATTCAATATTCTCTGTCAGATGTGAAGGGTGAGGGTGAAAAATGATTGGCGCATACTCTTTTTCGGGGATCTCACGAGTGCAGCGTTCAAGAAGCTCCGAGATAGGCTGAAACAATGCTCGTTTAAAGAAATCCAAGAGTTTTCGACGTCTTTTCATGTTAGAAATATGCTTTCATAAGAATGTACAGCGTTAACGTTTCTATGTTGCAGTACCTGCAGTAAGGGAAATAAAAAAAAATAAAAAAAAGCAGTGCTCTTTTTTTTTTTTGTAAAGTTGGTTGTTTTATATGTGAAGTCTTTTAGGTACATAGCATAGTACTGTCGATACCGGTTATAACGAAATAGTGGCTACAGCAACGCGATCACGATTTTCCATTCCCGTTTGCACTCTTTTCAATGCATTTGTGTCTGCTTTTAGCAAAGGAAATTGAGCGGCTCCCGCGGATATAGCGAACATAAATGTTGTGATAATTTTACAAAAAATAATAAAATTCGGAAAGTTTCCTAAGTCTTCGACTGCCGCACTTTGCTTCCGCGGCCAAGAAGCCACCCAGAACAGGCTGCAAAAGATGCTGGAAAGGCCACCGCCGGCAGTCTCTGCAACGTCGTCTGCTCCCCGCTCCTCATCTGGGAAGCGGCTTTACCGCATCGCGGGCGGAGAAGCCGTCGTGGCATGCCGATAGGGGCGTTCGGAGCGCTAGCGACAACGTTCCGGCGGAGGTATTTATTTATTTTTCATCAAGGTGCGTACATAGTACATTTCGTAGAAAAGTGAACACGCAAAAAAAAAAAAAAAAATGATGGCAACGAGATAATTAATTAAGGGTGCTGTTACTAAGTGTTTGTTTAAAAAGAAAAACGTCGGTGATGGAGGCAGTTGAAGCGGGAAGGCGGTTCCAATCTGTTGACGGGCGAGGTATGAATGACACACTGAATGCAATAGTCAAAGTCAAATTCGGGGGTTTTACGTGCGAAACCAACGACGGGCATCTGGCACGCCCCAGCGGAGGACTGAGGATTAATTTGGACCACCTGGGGATCTTTTGACGTGCAACCTAAAGCTCGGTTACACGGCGCCTTCTCCGCAATAAGCCTCCGTCAGATTGCGGGTGAATGCGTTAGTATTGAAACTTGGTATGCCAACCTTATGGACGTGATTGAGGCGAGCAGAGTGATACGATGCTTCGAGTATAAGTGACTGACGTAAAAATGTGTTCTGACGGTAGATTTTATGAAACAAGCAGAGACGAGCTCATTTGCGGCTGGAAGATAAGTCGGGTAATGAGAGAGTTATTCTCATATTTGTTGCACTGCACGTGCGATGATAGTTAGATAAGATGAAACGAGGTGCTCGATTTTGAATGCTTTCCAATGCATTGGCAAGGCAATGTTGGCCGGAATGAAGTGTAATCTAATTTCGAACGGACTAGGCACTTGTACATGATTAATTTCAGCAATGAATTTTCTTGAAAAAAAAAAAAAAAGCGTTTTAAGTAACCCACGATACGATTGACATTTCCAGCAACATACTCAATATGGGTATTTCCTGAGAGATTGGAGGTAATTTAGACGCCGAGGTACTTGTAAAATGAAACAGGTGTTAATGTGATATGCAGGACAGCTAGTGTTAGTGTGTGACACTCTCATTGACTTGAATTTATCGGTATTTAATTCCATCAGCCAAGCACCGCACCAGCGAGCTGTGCGGTTAAGATCCGTTTGGAGATGATCAATATCAGATTGGTCAGTGTTGCGAGAGAGAACGCAATCATCAGCGAACAAGCAGATTGATGAAGAAATGTTAGATACTAGATCGGTTATTATTAATAAGAAACAGTAAAGGGCCAGTTACGGAGCTTTGGGGCACCCCTTAATGAACACACGCCGTAAAGGAAATCTTGTTGTTAACACTTACATTTAGCGGGAAATGTTTCCCCGCTAAATGTAGTGGAAAAAATTCCCCGCTAAAGTTAGGGGATAAAATTGCCCCGCTAAATTCCCGCCAAATTTACACGCGATGCTCTCACCGAAGATGTGCATTTTCTGCGACTTGCGTTAAGCACACGTCGATCCATGCCCATGTTAGTAATGGGGGACTTTCCACCTTCTCCCCTCAGCACTCTTCCCTCCTCCTCCTCAAGAGCTGCACTCTAATTCGGTGTTACAGGGGATTGTAAACGTATTTCTTTCTTTTTTTTTATTATTCGTATTTTGTATAAATAATTATCATTGTGAACGCAGAAAATGGTTTGTATAGCGACGCAATATACTCGAATTTAAAATGTTGACGTGCGGGGTTTGCGAGTTATCGTCGAGCGCTTCGAAGAAGCTCGAGCCAAGACTGCTTCGTTCGCGGAATGCAAGAACTCCTTTTTATTCAAAGGGGTCGTCCGTCAAAACTTTTCTCAATGCAGGCTTGATTTAGATAATCCTCCAAAGATTATGTCACGATATGGACAGCGTTCTCAAATAAACCGGATTTTGACCAGCAGCATTCGATGTCTCGAATTATTCGGAAAGTCGAATACTAGGAATCCGATAATCGAATCGAATTATTCTGACAATTAAAATTCTATTCAAATTCAAAAGTCGAAACACCCTATTAAAAGTTACTAATTGAGCACTTCCAGAAATCCCAGCAGTTGTGTTCCCTAAATGTATACATGACAGTTATTGATTCATCGATTAAAATTTGACGAGTAATCGGTTTGATTTATTGAAGGCCCAATTTTTTCTTAGTTTTTTTTTTTTAATTTATACTGCGTCTTTATTACTTCTATTGTAGCCAGTGTATGATTCTTCGGTTTGATTTATTGAAGCCCCAATTTTTTCTTAGTTTTTTTTTTTTTTTAATTTATACTGCGTCTTTATTACTTCTATTGTAGCCAGTGTATGATTCAGTTTTTATGCATCTCAGCTGTCTTGTCATTTAATATCTGAAGTGGGGCTGCTATCACAGTTATACATTTTTAACCGAGTCAAGCGCAATTATGCATTTCTTCGTTATTTATTTATTGATGCATTATTTATTTATTACGATTACGAGGATGGTTATCATGTTCCGACACCTTCCCTGTTGCTCATTTTGTATGTGTGTGTCTAAATAAATAATTCGGTCGTTTCGAAGCACCGAGGAATACAAAACAATTCGGCAGAGAAGATTTCTTACGTGTGAGAATGCGAAAGCATTCCTACACGCAGCGCATTCATCAGCGCGCCACCCCTTCCTATCGCACACGGCGCTGCGGCGTTGACATCACGCTCTCCTACTGCGCAGGCGCGGCGAACCCTCCCGGCTTCACGACGGCTTCCATGACGAAGCATTGCGTTGTTGTGCTTTTCTTTGTGTTTTATTTCTAAAGCGCGTCCGCTTTGACCTCGAGCGCTCATGCCGGCTGACGCGACGAGGCATCTGCGTGACTGTGCTTGTCTTTGTGTTTTATTTCCGAGGCGCGTCCGCTCTGAACTCGAGCGGCCGCGCCGGCTTCCGTGAGAAAGCATTTGATATGGTTGAAAAAAATCGAGACTACGGGTAAACGACACAACACTAAAACGCCTCAACACTAAAAAGTCTCTAGATACTTTTTAGTGTTGTGTCGTTTACCCGCAGTCTCGGTTTTTTTTCAACCATGTGCAATGTACACCAGCTCGTTTGCGCCCTTACATTTTGTTAACCTATATGCCGCGTCGCAGCCAATTTAAGTGTCGTTTTTCGCGGTTACAGACGCCACCGGCTCCACTCCATGGGACAGTTAATGCGTTCGCATTAAAAAGAAGTAATATGCGTATTTGTCACCAGCAGCTATAATGTAATAAAACTGCTTAATTATATTTAACTCCATTACTTCTCCGATTGAGAGACCGATGTACGACCTAATTAGACTTCATATCCAGCTCATTATGATGTAGCTCAACTGCTCTTGGCGAGCAACTTACGCAACCCGGACTAGCAGCAGTCGGCTTTCGTCCCCTTTCAGGTCATCTTTGCCATGGCTTATAAGTTATGAGCCATGGGCAAAGATAATCGGAAGGGGACGAAAGCCGCCTGCTGCTAGTCCGCCGGTTATAAGTTATAACGGCTAGGCCCGCAAATCTGCGCCACCAACAGCATCCAAAAACTACTTCACGTTGTGCCAAAATATCCAGCGTTGCTTTATTCAACTGGGTATGGACGGATTCAAGGAACCAACATGTTAGTACCCCGGGCTCATTGTTAAAAAGGCTTTTTAAAGTTTTTTTTTTTTTTTTTCGGTTGTGAGAATGCAATTTGAACACGCAAAGATTCGTCTTAAGCGGCGCAGTTCCCCTTTAAGGCCCGTTCACACTCTTGCGACCGAGTTAGACCGAGAGAGACCAGACCGGTTTTTAAGCCTCTTGCGACTTCTTAGGACCAGCTCCGCTGCATCGCATCCGGTCCTAAGAAGTCGCAAAAGGCTTAAAAACCGGTCTGGTCTCTCTCGGTCGAAGTCGGTCACAAGAGTGTGAACGGGCCTTTAGTATAGTGGTGGCACTGCACAGGCCAATTTGGCCTGCGAGTGCCCGGATTGAGGTTCCGAAAAGAGGCCGGCGATGTGGCCTCTCGTTGAGACCTGAGGTAGTCTGTAGCCCTCCCGGAATTGGTTTTAGAGAGGGCGTGGTTCGAAGGGCTACACGCCTGTGCTGTGTCGTCTAAAATTGCAGAGCCATCTCCGTTCGTTTCAGGTGAAGTGCCAAAGTTTCAGTTTCAAGAACAAAAACCAAGAGCTAAGCAGTGACGAGCAAGACGGACGCTCCATCCAGATCGAGCTCGCTCTCTACAACCGGTGCAGCAAAGGAAGTATTCTGCTCGAGGGCAAGAAAGTGACTGCAGTCGCCGGCCCTTCCTTCAGTAAGTGAACGCACGCTCCGCATGCATATTACATGACGTCGCACGCCGCGGTCAGGGATTCACGGGCAGATGCTCTGCACGCGCGTGCACGTGCTCTCTCGGCGCCGCTTTTCTCGACACGCAGTGCGTTTATGACTGAATGTCCGAAACGGTACTTGGGAAAATGCCGAGCGTGGGGGGACATTGTGAATGCGCGAACTTGCACTGAGAGTGTGTCCATGCTATTCTTGGAAGAGAAAGGGAGAGAACAAACTTCATTTTGTGAAAGGCTTACGTTCCTGTCGGGACGACCCGTCCGATCCACGAATCGCGGATGAATTCCGCGAGGGGACCGGAGTCGGAAGAGATTATGCCTTTTTCGATGCAAGAAGGTGTCTTCATGATAACGCTAGACAGTCATGAATGAACGAACGAAATAGCACCAAATCGGTGGAACTTAGGCTCATAGCCCATAGGGGTGGTGTGTTTCTTCAGTTACGACGAAAGTTATTTTATGACCTGCTGTTGAAAAGCCGAGATGGAGGGTAAAGACGATGACACCCCACCCCCCCCCCCTCCCCACACACACACACACACAAACACGCACATAAAAAGCGCGTTCGTGTTTAGACAGCGTAAGATCGGCCTATTTTTGAGGTATACTACGACACTGGTTTACGCGCATGATAAATTGAGTCACTGCTAGTTGAGGTTTTTGACGCGCATCATGCAGCAGTGGTGCCCAACCACACTCCGGTACGATGCTCATTCAGATCGAAACAGACAGGGGTAGAGATTGAACCCAGCATCCCTGGGTTCTCCAGCGCGAGCTCTCGCACCATGTGCTCCGAGCTACGACGCGTTAACGCCTTCGGCCACCGATCCTCCCGACGATCCACAAGGCGACGGAATGTTGACTTTTCTCGTCTTGTCTGATTCCTCAAATGCGTGTTCGTTGATCTCTCTGCCTAAGGCTATTCTATCAAAGGGCGCACATCAGTATTTTTCTCCGAGGCGAAAGAGGGAATAAAAGCAAACTGGGCCTTTCAGGAACACACACGCACACACACAAAGTTTGGTAACATGGGTACGTGAAGTTCGGTAACGTGGGTACATGAAACAACGTCGAACTAAAGTTGTAACCAAAATAAAGAACATGTATGATCCCTAAGTGTGTTGTCATGACGTGTCTTATTTTTTCTTCAGCCCGCTGCGCCACCTTCGCTCTCGTACTTCGGTCATAAGATAAATTAACTTTTGATGAAGCCTATATTTTTAATTAAAATTTTAAAAACGACGAAACTAAGTACAAAATATATGGGGCAATATTATTTTTTAATGGGTTTGTTAAGTGATTTTATTGGTTTCACTTCCGAACAGAGACACTCGGACGCGGAGCTCTAAATACGCACTCTGCATTTCACATCTGTCCTCCGCCTGCATTTTCTACTTATGTGACAAATAAAGCGGGTACGAGAATTCCGCTGCAGCGACGCTGCTTTTGCGATAAAATGCTGATCCTGGGCGATCCCACACAAGTGGTGCTTAATAAAAAAAGGATGTAGTGGACGAAGATACAATATCTATCGCATAGCTGCGGGTCAAGGCGATCAGGGAGACTATCGAACGGGCTGGAGATATTAGTTGCCACGCTCTGAAGGAGATAGATAAACAGTTTTACTCCCATCCGCAAGGCGAAGGGATCAAAGACAGAGCGACAGAAATTCTTGTTAGGCAACGTATACCACTACACGCTTTTCGAGGGCGTGTAATATAGTGTATACTGTGTGCTGAAACAGTATCACAGCTTGCGTCACGCTTAGGGAAGTTTTAGCCTAAGACGTCACACGAGGGAAAATCCAGACAAACTGATCAGAAGCAGAACTTTAGATGACAGCGAGTAAACTTGTTCCCAGAACAACTAATCTTTAAAAAAAAAAAAAAAAAAAACACGTACACACACACCGAAAAAAAAACAAAAAAACGCCGCTATCATCACCTTTGTGACGCATTCGCGGTGGCGTTCGGCGCCCTGTTCGACAGTCATCGCGGCTCTCGTCTTCTTTCCTGGGAATCTTTGCTCTTTGTGTTCCACTCCATCCGGGTCATGGAAGGAGAAGTCAGTGGAACTGCCAACACGGTCAAGGTTCGATGGCGGCGCTCGACACCGGGGAATTCCTGTAGGAAATCTCCCTGGCTACGCGTCGTGTCTTCGAGGGGGCCCCCATTTCAGAGCACGCACCTCACTAACCGACAACGTGAAAGAATGGAACTTTTTGTGGTGGCATTGTGCCAGCCGCAGCCCGTGAGCTGAACGCGGCTGTTAAAACAGATTGGCGCTGTATACGGCGTTGCTGCCGCGTCTATCTGTGTGTAATGTGTGTGTGTGTGTGCGTGCGCCCGCGCTGGAGTCGGACACGAATGGTGTTTCGGCGCAACGTGTTTCCCCTTTTGTCCTTTTGTTTCGTGTAGTTGTTGCAAAACGAGCTCTTTCGAAGCGAAACGAGCCCTTTTAGTGCAACCATTGCAGCTTCCCTCAAGACTTGAACAAAATGAAAGAGCCGTAAACGCGCACTGACATCTCGCCTTTTCTTCTCCCTTTGCGCGAATCAGAACCCTTTTAAAGCGCCGTGCGATGCGAAGTCGGGGAACACATTTGGATCAGAATATTGACTCAGCACTCGCGTACAACACGTGCTGAGAGCGCAAAAGGGTATATTACGCCGGACCAAGTGCATGGGAAACGTAATTTCTATCCAGAAAACTCATTCTTATGCGCGTAAACCCTCTGCATATACTAGACGTGAGGTTCTAAAAAGCGCTTCTGAAAGGGGGAAACATTTTCAGGCGCAAATTTTTCTAGGCACTGCAATTTTGTTCGCAAAATCTCTTCAAGAGTTTCCTCTTCACTTTCATATTAAAAAACAACAAAAACGATAAGTTTCTAGTTATTCAATTCCATAAGTTCGTGTGCTTTTTCTTGAAAAAAAAAAAATTAATAACGCCAATTTTTTTTTTTTTTTTTTTTTTTTTTAGTTTGTTTGAAATACGGAGGTTAATCTTCAGTGAGAGAAATAGAGTGAGAAGGGGTAAATTTAATATTAGAATTTTCGCAAGAAAGGGCTTACTCGTTTATCTCTACGGCGTCTTTCGATCTCTTGTATGCGTTTAACCACTCAAAATACCACAACATTTGGCCGCCGATGTCGCTAACCTATTCGTGACTCCAACTGTATTCTATTATTTATTTGTTTAATTTCCTTTTCTTTTAAGTCTCCTCTATCTATTTTGTCGTTGTCTATAGGGGGCGCCAGTCGTTTTCCAAAATGGCGGTTAAAGTGAGGGTCGAAGATGCGGGCCGGTATACCAGCTGCTGAGCCTGTCTAGTTTGCTGGCTTCGCTGAGCGACAGAAATTATTCCTGCTTATTCGAGGAAGCTAGGGTGTTATGAGCGCAGGTCACCTGTTTATCCACAAAACAAAAACGGTGTTCAGCGTAATATTTACACCAGGAGGCCCGTTTTCATTCAGGAACAAAACCGAAACTAACCTCTATTTTAGGTTTAATTACTCTCGTATACGTGTTAATACCGCTTTCACCCTTAAATCTTATGTGTCTCACAGCGTAATTTTTGAGCTAAAGAGATTGATCGCGGAAACTTTATTTTGTGACATATGTGTCTGATCCAGAAAGAAACAGGTCTTTCATACACCTTAGAGGTAACGTAGAATATTGTATTTGTTAAAAAAATCAGCTCTGATATGTGCGTGTTCTTGACGCCTTTTCTCACTGAGATAATTGTCATGTCAAATAGTGAACTGCGGGTCATTTAATGAGTTTTTGGGCATTTAGATAATTAATTGCTTAAGCACTTTTGCCAGCCCGAGAATAAGAGAATCAATCTGAATTTTACAAAATATCGCCACGGGTGATGAGTTCAAGATATGTTCAGAAAACGCATAAATTGAGAAACACTGCTCTTCTACAAAGACTCAAAAACGGAATCAGATTCAAACAGAAATCTCTGTTGTTTTTTATTTTTTTTTAAACCAACGCGTGACGCATAGGACTTTATATTACATCAAGTGTTTATGTCTATCTTGATAACGATGTCAGATTTTTTTCATGTGCTAAAAAGAAAACAAAATGAGACCTTTCTGTAAGGACTATTATGGTTAGATGAAGTATTCTAGCGATTGTGGCGTTCATTGGGGGCCTACATTTCCGTAGTCTGTATTAATAATATTACAATTACGCTATTTTATAACGTAGATTTCAAGCTCTCATATAATTTGTGGCTCATGTATAATTTCAAACGCGTGAACGACAATGGTAATCCAATTCCAGTATTTTTAATTAACAAGTTATGAAAAATAGTCTAAAATGAATGCAAACAATTTAGCTAGTCCGAGATATCCAAGTAAAATTACATTAAAAATGGGTAAAACACACGGTGCTATCAAAGTCGCGACGTTTGACAATCGGCAAAACTTCTAAATTCGCCACCAATCCTACCGAACAAAAAAAAATGCCCCCCCCCCCCCTCCCCTCAAAAAAAAAAATATGCGTTTTTTTTTTTTTTTTTATTTACAGAACTTTAGAAAACATTCATTTTATTTGATTTTTACGCGCCGTCGTTTTGCAAATCTCAACCTTTACAGTTAAAAAAAAGAAAAAAAAGAAAAAAAAAGCCTATTCGCGTGCACGTCTGCTCAAACGCAGCACCTTTGTTGTCGCTGGAAAACTGGTGAGACGGTAGTGAGTTTTAGTGTTGCGTATACGAGCGAACGCAAGCACTGTGTGTTTGCGTGTACGACACCGCGCGTACGCGGAGCCCAAAATGACGGTCTTGCAATGGCGCACGGCGACGACGCGCATGCGCAGCGTGGAGCACGTTATTCTGACGCAGCGATGGGATTGCTGCGCCATTTGCGGCAAACTGCGCCACAGTGCTTACCCTGCTGCGTCCTGCTGCATTTTACCAAAATGTGAGGAATTTGAGCCAACGTTGCGCCAAAACT